TCACAATATTCAAGCTAGAGTTTGACTTAATAGTGGAAAATCGTCAGTAGCCTAAATACCGATCAGCTGAGTTTTAAAACATTTAGGAATATTCACACAGCTTCAGCTGGAAGGTTTTTCATTTTGTAAAAGTTAACAGTACTATGTGGACAGAAAAAGGCAGCTAATGGCGTATCCTCGTGTGACGTGACAGCTGACCCACCAGGGCTTCATCACGTGACACAGTGAGTGAAATGCCAGTGTGAGAGTCACCCCTTCAGGTTCTGGCCACATCTCGGCATAGGGTTTCACATTCCAAATGTAAGTGGACATACGGAATGGACGTTCCAAGGAAATACTTGGATACATTCAGTTATGATAAGGCAAATGTTCTTCAACACAGCACACTCCAGTCTTCTGAGAGGCTGATCATGTGCTTTTAAAGGTTGTTCCGAGAGCAGGATTTAGTATCAGTGCCTCACTGACCTATCTGAGAATAGAAACCATTTTTCAAGTACCATCAAGCACCAGCGGTATTCTGACCTATAGCAAGACCATCCTGCATTGTGTTACATGTAATTATCAAAACTTACAATAGCATACGGGAAATGATGTTAATGAGTGATTCCCTGTGTGAACAAAAGGGGTCTGCATGAGCAGATTATAATAAATGATAACATCAACACTAACAGAATTTTGGCTGACAATGCAGAAAGTATCATGTTCGTTAGTTTGGAAAGGTAATATTTCTTTTATAGAGCTGGAAGTGATTTTAGGCAGCTAACAACTGAGAGCTGCATTCCAATTTCCAAAATGTTAAAAAATGTAGTTTTTAAAATTGATGGTATCATGTATATGTAATTCATCCCATTTGTAAAACTACATATAAAGCTCAGAAAAATTAAAAGAAAAAAGAGTTACATCAATGCTCCTTTCCTTTGTCTAGAACACATTGATCCAGAAGAGTTCTAAATTGACTGTTTCAGAAAAATTATTTTCTATTGCATGACTGTTTTAAAAGAACCTTAGAGTTTGCTGATACATTCAGAAATTTTCCATTTACCTTAATGCATGCAATTCCTCTAACTTTTCTTCTTCTTTTTTTGTGAGGAAGATTGGCCCTGAGCTAACATCTATTGCCAATCTTCCTCATTTTGCTTGAGGAAATTGTCCCCGAGCTGACATGTGTGCCAATCTTCCTCTATTCTGTATGTGGGACACCGCCACAGCATGGCTTGAGGAGCAGTGTGTAGGTCCATGCCCAGGATCTGAACCTACGAACCCCGGGCCACCGACATGGAGTGTATGAACTTAACCACTATGCCACCAGGCCGGCCCCTAACTTCTTTTTTAAAGAGCTACTGTCAAAACTTTGTGACAAAGATTCTATTAAACATGTAACAATGGATGAAAATTTAAACAAATTTCCTTCATATCTCTATCTATCCCTGTTGTCATCTTTAAAAATTTGTCTCGCCTTTATTTACTGATTTGGTTCATGTTCCACAGAAAGGGCAGAGGGGAGGTAGAACAAAAACTACACTTTTATTTCCTAATCATTAATCTCTCTGTTTTATTGATTTTTCCTAATATTGTTAAGGAGTTTATTTTGCTTTCTTCTAGCCTCATAAGTTAGTTATTGCTTCCATCCAAAGCTTTAGTAACTGTCTAGTCTTTTTTTTTTTTTAAAGATTTATTTTTCCTTTTTCTCCCCAAAGCCCTCCGGTACATAGTTGTGTATTTGTAGTTGTGGGTCCTTCTAGTTGTGGCATGCAGGACACCGCCCCATCGTGGCCTGAGTAGCAGCGCCATGTCCGCACCTGGGATTCGAACCTGCGAAACCCTAAGCCCCCAAAGCGAAGTGCGCAAACTCAACCACTCAGGGCCAATCTTCCTCACAAAAAAAGAAGAAGAAAAGTTAGAGGAATTGCAAAATGAGGAAGATTGGCAATAGATGTCAACCACTCGGCCACAAGGCTGGCCCCTAAAATATGCATCCTTATTTAACATGGTTCTACTTAGAATTAACACTGTACCCAGGCGAGACAAATTTTTAAAGATGACAACAGGGATAGATAGAGATATGAAGGAAATTTGTTTAAATTTTCATCCATTGTTACATGTTTAATAGAATTTTTGTCACAAAGTTTTGACAGGATCCGAACCAGAGAAACCCTGGGCCACCGAAGCGGAGCCTGCAAACTTAACCACTCGGCCACAGGGCCTGCCCCCAACTGTCCAGCCTTTAACAGGCACTGTGTAGGAGCCATGGATATAAAGATGAACAAACCAACAAAATGTTATTTCAGTTCTGGTTTCCTACATGCATTGAAGGGATTATTTTTTCAAACGAATGTATCAATGTAACACCAATCAAGTTTCCAGTTGCAGAATGGATCTATTCAAGGTCGAGCTGATAGTTGCCACTTTAAGCAAGTTTTAAAATATAGCATTAATAATAATGTAAAAACCTGACATTTGTGCTTTCAGAAGTATGCAGCATCAATCATGAAATATTCTTGCCAAAAATGTTTAATTTCAACTTAATGAATTATCTGGACATAATCAGCAATTTTTAGGAAAAATGAGGGGAGATCAACAAGTTAAATCATATCACGAGGAAACAAATCAGAATGTGGGCACTCTCTGGGTACGTCACAAAAAAAAACAAAGACATAAAAAAGTGAGGGTACTACGCTAGAGACAAAAAGGAAAAAAAATCTCAAGTGCAATATATTAACCTAGAGTAAATACTGGTTAGAAGATATTTACTTTACAAATTTAGGAAAAACCTCCAAAAGGACAATTTACTTTTTCCTATGCCATTATTAACTCCTACTTAAATTGTGAACAGAGAATATGAATAGTTGCTATTATCAAAAATCTTTACACACACTAAATCATATACTTATTTCCAAAATTATGTAAAATTTAATAATAGATGAGTGGCTTTAAGAAGCTGTCCTAAATTAATTAAACCACTAGAATCTTACTCATAAAAATGAACTGTCAGTAAAACAAATAGTGATAATACCAACAGCTCATGTTTACTGAACGTAGGCTACTCGCCAGATAATCTTCGAAGGTTTTACACGTACTACTTTAATTAATCCCTATAACAGGACTATCGTGTAGGTTCCTGATGAGCGTTTTACAAATGATGCCTCTAGACGGTAAATATCTTGGCCAACGACACCCGGGTAGTAAGACGGTAGAATGGCAATGAAGACAGGTGAGGTGTGTGCTATGGTCAAAAGCATTTCTGCATATATAACATTAATACGTTTATCAGTATTATTTTTTAGAGTTTAACAATGATTGAACGGTGTTATGATTTAAAAATATGTCTGCAAATGGCTTGACATTCCTCCCTTCAAAAAGTGAAGCTGAATTCCTCTCCTGCTGCACGTGGGCTGGGCTTGCTGACTCGCTGCTAATGGACAGAAGGTGGCAGGAGTGACGCCAAGGCTAGACTGCAACAAGGATGACTTCTGAGAAAAGCCAATTAGCACGTCACAAGGACTCGCGCGTGCGGCATGTGGAGAGGTCCCGCTGGAGAGAGAACTCGCCGGGATGACCTCACCAGCACGTGACGAAGCCGCCTTGGACAGCAGATCTCCCAGCCCGGTCAGGCCTGGAGAGAACTGCAGCCTCATGGGACACCTGAACCACCAGCCTGGCTGCGCCCACTTCCTGACCCACAGAAACTATGAGAAAAATACCCGTTTATTCGGATTTTAAGCCACTAATTTTGGAGGTACTTTGGAACGCAGCAAGAGATAACTAACACAGATTTTGGCGCCTAGAAGAGGATGCTGGTGAAACCAAATACTAAAAATGTCAGAGTGGCTTTGGGTTCACAAAGTGGGTGGAACCTAGAAGGGCCTGGAAGATGCTGTGAGCAGAAACCTAGAGGCTTCTGAGGCGGCGACTAGCGAGGGCTTACAGCAGACTGAGAAAAACGACGCAGAGCTGGGGAAAGGGATCCTGGTGTGGCAGCAGACAGTGTAGCGACATCACTGCAGGTGATAATGTGCAAAGTAGAAAATATATCTAATGACCTGGGGGCTTTAGCCAAGGAGACTTCCAGGCAGAGTGCTGAGGGCGCCATTTCGCTTCTTGCTGCTTTGAGTAAAGTGCAAAAGTTAGGCCAGCTGGAGGAAGCCTGCCAAACACAAGTAAAGCAGGACTTGCTGCTTTTGGAAATTCCCAGCCTCTTCAGAAGGCACGTGATGCTAAACTTCGGAAATGGTTTTTGGACACAGGTCAAAGGCAGGGTATTGTTAGGAAAATACAACCTATAAGTAAGAGAGGGTGTGTGTTCATCTCGGTCCCTCGAGAGCAAACACAGGATGAGACACATAGAGGATCCTGAGTAACTGCCTAGCAAGGGAAAAGAGGAGAGCCAGGGAGGCAGGGAGAGTCTTCCGGCTCTGATGCAAGTCTGACAATCTGAAGGAGGGAGGATGAAGGGAGATTGTGTAGGACAACTATTAAAGTGCATGCAGGTCTGAGACACGAGTTCCAGCCAGGCTAGTGGGCAGTTCTTGATCCAGCTGCCTGGCTGAGAAGGTCCAGATCTCACAGGAACTGACCTGCACTAACACCCACTGTTCTCAGGAAACTGGCTGTGGGCCGCCCATGGAGGCGTGGTCTCTATATTAACATGGTGGTTATTTCAGAGAGGGAGCAGGTGGGGGTATCAGTCAATTATGCTCCTCCCAGCAGCTGATAGAGTATGACTATAAAAAACCCTCAGTTCAGACCACAGAAAGATCTAAGGTGATGCCTAAGAGAACCACCGTTCAGTGAAATTCCCATAAAAGGGCCTGTCAGAGCCTCAGCTGCAGCCCAAGGTAGAGAAGAGCTGATGTGACTGAGAGAGTGAGAGAGTGAATGAGCGAGCGGGCACGAGCCCCAGGAGAAAGCTATCGTGCACATTCTCTTCCTTAGAAGCAAGGGACTAGGTTTGGCTCACATTTAAAGGAAGGGGAATTAGGCTCCAGTTTTGAAACGTGCAGTTTCAAATAATTTGTGGATATATTTTAAAAACATACTTATTGGCCCTCTGAGTACAAATTGTTTCCATTCCTACCACATGCAAAACATGCTCAAGGAGCCCCCAGAGTCTCATCCGCTTGCAGCCTCACCTCCAAGTCCAGGGTTTCCTCATCTAAATCAGGTCCTCTGTGGATGAGGATGGCCTTCTCCTGATCCTCTCTCTCTAAGCCAGCAGCCAAGGTGAGCGAGCCCCCTGGGGGCACATCTTCAGCCCCAATGAAGCCTTCAGATGACGTCAGTCTCATGAAAAACCCAATCCAGACGCACTCAGCCAAGTCACTCCTGAATTTCTGACCCACAGAAGCTGTGAGACTTGTTTACTGTTGTGATAAGCCATTAAGATTTGGGGTAATTTGTAACACAGCCACTGACAAGTAATATGGAAGGCTTTTTTTTAAGCCATTCATTAAATTAACAAATTTAATTAAAAATTCCACACTATGCATGTTGTACACATGAAGAAATTGGAATTCCCATTTTTTTCTTAATTTGCCATTGTTTGAATAGTCAGACATTCCATTAAAACAGGAGCAGCATTGAAGGCTTTCTAAAGTGGCATGGACTGCATTATGAATTCTCGTGTTTGGTAAAGACAGACCCATTAGACTAACATTCAATCATTTCTCACCAGTGTGAAATGTCGGATGTCAACAAAGCTTGGGCCGTGCCTGAAGCATTCTCCTACTCCTTCTGTTCTTAGAGTCGCGTATCTCTATGAATTCCCTGATGTGCTTTCAGGGCTGAACCATATCTGAAGGCCTTCCCACACTTCTTACACACATAGGGCTTCTCACCAGTGTGGATTCTTTCATGCTGAACAAGGTTTGAAGCACGACTGAAGGCCTTCCCACATTCCTTACAGCCATAGGGTTTCCCACCAGTATGAATTTTCTGATGTTGTGTAAGGTATCCATACATTTTAAAGGCCTTCCCACATTCCTGACATTCATAGGGTTTTTGCTCAGCATGAATACTCTGGTGTGCAGTCAGGTGTGAACTGCGTCTAAAGGCTTTCCCACATTCCTTACATTCAAAAGGTTTCTTATCAGTATGAATACTCTGATGCAGAGTAAGATTTCTATAGAAAGTAAAGGTTTTCCTACACACCTTACACTCATAGGGTTTCACACCAGTGTGAATTTTCTGATGTTGATTAAGATACCCATGCAAGCTAAAGGCCTTCCCACATTCCTTACATTCATAGGGCTTCTCACCAGTGTGAGTTTTCTGATGCTGAATCAGGTTTGAGCCAGTACTATAGGCCTTCCCACATTCCTTACATTCAAAAAGTTTCTTACCGGTATGAATACTCTGATGTCGAATAAGATTTCTATACAAAGTAAAAGTTTTTTTACACTCCTTACACTCATAGGGTTTCACACCAGTGTGAATTTTCTGATGTTGATTGAGATACCCATGCAAGCTAAAGGCCTTCCCACATTCCTTACATTCATAGGGCTTCTCACCAGTGTGAATTTTCTGATGTTGAAAAAGTTTTGAGCCAGTGGTGTAGGCCTTCCCACACTGCCTACATTCAAAAAGTTTCTCACCAGTATGAATATTCTGATGCCGAGTAAGATTTCTATACAAGGTAAAGGTTTTCCTACATTCCTTACATTCATATGGTTTCCCGCCTTTATGAATTCTTTGATGTAGGATAAGGTATGAGGCAGTGGTATAGCCCTTCCCACATTCTTTACATTCATATGGTTTTTTACCGGTATGAACACTCTGATGTACAGTAAGTTGATGACCTCTTCGAAAGGCTTTCCCACATTTCTCACACATGTATGGTTTCTCAACAGTATGAATTTGCCTATGTTCAACAAGGTTTGAGCGCCTACTAAAGGCCTTCCCACAGTCCTGACATTTATAGGGTTTCTCACCAGTATGAATTCTTTGATGAATTCTAAGGTGTCCGCCTTGACTAAAGGCCTTCCCACATTCCTGACATTCATAAGGCTTCCCCCCAGTGTGAATTCTCTCATGCTGAACAATGTGTGAGGCATAAATAAAGGCCTTCCCACATTCCCGACATTCATAGGTTTTCTCACCCGTATGACATCTCTGATGTACAGTAAGTTGGTAACCACTTTTAAAGTTCTTCCCACATTCTGTACACTCATAGGGTTTCTCACCAGAATGAAATCTTTGATGTAGAGTAAGTTGATAGCCACTACGAAAGTTCTTCCCACATTCTTTGCATTCATAGGGTCTTTCACCAATATGAAACCTGTGATGGAGATTAAGTTGACAGCCACCACTAAATTTCTTCTGATATTTCTTACATTCCTTGCGTTTCTCTCTGTTATATATGCTCTGGTGTTGTGTAGAAGATATATCTTTTTCACATGTGGGCATTTCTACATAGCTGATTACCTCACACTGTAAATCCAAATCTGAAACAAAAGAAGAGAACAAAAAATATTTGCATTTCGTATACCAGAGAAGATGAAACTCCTATGAAAGAAATAAGAACCAACACTCGTAATGAGTGAAGGGCTTATGGAATTCTAAAATATGGTGATGAAATTTTAAAAAGGCCAAGAAGAGTCTAGAGATATGGCATCATGTCAAAACACTACCCCCTTTGCTCTCTATCTCCTTTCACATTCCCCCTTTTCAGCACTTAGGATGTGGTACAACCTTCCTGATCACTTAATGCTTTCCACAGACTCCTTCATTGAACCAGCAGCCTTGGACCTGGGCACGCTGTAGGCTGGGTCCTTCCCATCCTTTAGGTCTCAGGATAAATGTCCTATCCCTTAGAAAGACATACTCTAAGTATGTCCAGGTCTCTTTTTTTATGTTCTAACACCTCATTCCTTCCACACACCTTTGTTTTCAATTACAATATGATTAATTTCCTTACACGATATTCTCTTTATTCACATTTCCCTAAACTTCCCCAAGACCAGGCAGAGTCCTTCATTGTTTCATCACAGAATTATGGTCCTGATATATCATAGGTGCTAAGTAACTTATTGCTCTTACTTATCTTGAGTTGAGTTTTATTATTACTCATCCATTCTAAATATACTAAATCTTCATTAGTTCATATCCTTTCCCATGTCCTTGCTTCCTTTCCCTTACTGTCAAAGCCAACCATTCTTATACTTTCAGATAAGTATCTGATACTTTTTCAGACGATTCACAGATAACGTATTTGAATGAAAAAACCTTAAGAAATCCTTTCCATTTGGAGATGCTGGAGAGAATAAGGAAAGTATAATACGGAGGAAAGTTTTGGGGGAACAGAGTGCCTAGGAAATATTAGATATAAGCTGGAAGACAGCAATCCAGGTTTGGGAAAAGACTAAGGAACATCAGTGCAGAATGAGGGGGGCATAAGACGAGGGGAAAAGTATTTTTTTTTGTGACTCAATTGTGGGATGTGTAAAACAGGTGAGATGATACAAACATTCTCTGACCTCAAAAAATAACACTCAAATTAACAGCAACATCAATCAATCAATAAAAAGCGCTCTATCTAGAAAAATAAAGGCTCGCTATTAACGAAATTTCAGGGCAATTAACGCAGTGGACAACCAGCAGAGGTAGGATGGATGCTCACACAAAATCTGACATGGACACATCAACAAAGTAGGAAAAAAGTTATCATTCTTACAATGAGGCTTCCTGGAGAGAGAAGGGTGGCTCCCAAGTAGGTCTGAAAATGACGAGAGATGTGGAAAAAAGACTGACTTAGGGTTTTTTATGGTGGTTAGGGTGTGGGACAGGGCTGAGGGGACAGGGTTTGCACGGTTTGAACCTCCACTGGCATCAAAGGCTTTTTCTCAGCTTTCCCAAAAGTGGGGCAGAAGGAGAGGTGGGGCTTGAAAGCTGTCAGCAGTCAAAAATCAAAAACAGAGTCTGGGGGCCAGCCCCGTGGCCGAGTAGGTGAGTTCGGTGCTCTGCTTCGGTGGCCCAGGGTTTTGCCGGTTCGGATCCTGGGCGCGGACATGGCACCGCTCATCAAGCCACGCTGAGGCTGCGTCCCACGTACTACAACTAGAAGGACCCACAACTAAGAATACACAACTATGTACCGGGGGACTTTGGGGAGAAAAAGGAAAAATAAAATCTTAAAAAATAAAAAAAACCCCAAAAAATCCAGAGTCTGAATCTTTATTACACTAAGGAAATAAACATTAAAATGAGAGAAATATAGACATGTAAAAAATGAAAATACTACATTTTAGAAGGTACAACTTCCAGCTACAATGGTCAGGGAAAAGTTGCTACCTCAACACAAATTAAATAAACAATTTACTAAAAAATTTAGAAAAACCATCAAAGTGAGCTAAAGGAAAAAAGACAGAATACGGATAAAAACCAGAATCCAATGGTTTGGGAAAAGAACAGAAACAATATATAAATAAAAAAAAAAAAAAGGACCTAAAAAAAAACCAATGTGCGATGATACACCAGCTAAACTAATCAAGAAAAGGGGAGAACAAACAAAAAATTAATAAATTATAAAAGTGAAAGACAAAATATAGGAAAATAACTGATCAAAACTAACCCTACAAAAGACAAAAATCTTAAACAGATCAACTTCCATAGAATAGAAAAAATATCGAAAAGGCTAGTAGCAATAAGCACCCTGATCATTTATACTGTCTCCTCTAAATCTGTGCCACTATGACGGCTCAGAAAATCCTTACAGAAATGTTCAATTCCAAGAATGGGGCAGGGAGGATCCAAGATAGTCCTCACAAATCTTGGGCCAAAAAAGTGGGGAAAATTTAAAAGATTTATGGCTTTGTTAAAAAACATATGTATCTGAGTAATAAGCTATGTATGGCCAATACTGTGAAAAAGAGAGGGAAAAAACTGATTATTTTGGATTAAACATATTAAGTAAATGAAAGACAGATAAAATAATGAGTTTTTAGAGAACAGAAACCATTTTGCGTTTTTTTCGTTAAATAATGCATTGCTAAAAACTTTATCATTATCATCAGCACAGAGTCAAACACATTTTCCCGCCCATCCCAATCAATTTATATTTCAAAGTAACCAAAGAGCCTGTTGATCATGTCAATAAAAAACTGTAGAAATCATGAGAGAATTTTTTTAAAAAACAACCTTGAAATTCCCAATCTTATCAAGATAAGCATAAACAGTGTCGCTACAACCACAAGCAGAGCAATTGCTACAGCACTGCCTGCCGCCACGATGCCGAAGCAACATCAGAGGGACTTCCATTCCATGCGACAGGAGAAGCAGAACCGAACAGCGGAGGAAGCAGACTGTTACTTTAATTGAACTTAGCGTTCCAAAACTAATGGTGTGATCTAATATATGCTGTATCTTTCATAAAGTACACATAACCGGTTGCCTACAGTGTATTTTAGCCACAGGTGTTTAATGTGACTCCCTCAAGACTGAAAATAATTTCCAATTTACAAAAATACAAAGGGAAAAGAATAAGCTAAATTATACCATAAGATGGCAAATTTTGCAACATAAGTGAACTTGTCTCTTCAAAATGTCAGTGTCATAAATAAAGGGACTGTGTTAGTTTAAGGGAGATTTCAGTGGTACAATAACCAGACGGAGTGCATAGTCTTGCACTGGGATACTGAATTGAACAAATCAAATTGGGACAAATGGGGTAATATGCATAGAATTTGGGTTTTGAAGATATAATAAAATCAAAATATAATAGAAATATAAAATAGAAAAATCACTGACAAGGACAGTCATATAAAACAGTAAGAATGTGGTGTCACTTTGGTAAAAAGAAAAACGTGGATGGATGTTTGTGTGTACATCCACTAAGGTGTTTTAAAGTGGCAGGAATATAAGATTTTAATATTTTGAAAAAATTTTTACCTGTCACTATTTTCTAACTTTCTACAATGCACATGGAGGATTTCTTCAAAGGGTTATTAATTCTGTATTTATCTATTAACATGGCATGAAATAAATATACCAAATATAGACAAAATCTCAAGTGTGAGTGGAACATTTAATTAATAAGGATCTAGAACTTCATAGACATAAGCCAAATACTGCAGAATTCCGTTCCTTTTCAGTCACAAATTACTTATAAAAATAGACCATAAACTGAACTATAAAACAAGTCTCAACCTATTTCAAAGGATCAGAATCATGCAGAGTGTGTCTGTCATCTGATCACAAAAAATGTTATGCTAGAAATCAATATTACAAAGACAACCAGACAATCGGCATATATTTGGAAATTAAACAGTGCTTCTAGTTGATAAATATACCAAACAAACTGTGCCCTGTGATATAATAATTACAAACTTTGGAAAATGATGTTTTGACTGAAAATTATAAGGCAAAAGAAAGTGCACATAAACACTACTCGAGTTAGTAAATTTGCTTCTCTTGGGGGTACAAGCCAACAGTTCTGAAACTGTGTTCCCTGTGCCTGGGGCTGAACAAATACATAAACGGATGATGGACGGTGAGAGCTAGTTTCCCCACTGTCAGAGAAAGAAGCTGCAGACGAACCAGACAGGAAGGCTAGCATGCACCCTGCAGTACTGCATGGCGGTTGGAGCATCAGTATGAACTCATGTTTAGGTTGATAGATACAGATGGACAGATAATAAAACAGTTAAAAATATATGTGAGTATACATGGTGAGTATGCATACATTTATTACCTAGAGAGGTCGCTAAGAGGGCACAGAAGCAATGACATGCCCGTAGCCATGAGTATGCCCAGCACCCAGACCTTGGTTTCCAAATGCCATTCGCCAATAAAAGGACCCAGGGCTCCTAGCGGAAATGGCTGATTCTGGGACAGGGAAGGGAAAAGTCAGGATGAGTCTGAAAGTAGTACCAGGAAAGAAACCCTCAAAAAACAAAAGGATGGGGATATTAAACGGACACAGGAACCAACCTAAATAGAGCTACCAATGTCCGAAGCAGAACAAATAATGTAACTTTTGATTATAACTCAAAGTGTAAAATAAATATACACGAATCCACACTGAAATAAATAAGTGGGAAAGAGACAATTCTTTCTTATACAAGAATTCCAGATAATATATAGAGATTTTCTATCTTATAAAAGGTAGGACTTAAATCCCAATGCTGCACCCCCGCCCTTAGGGTGAGCTACACTTAGTGAGCTGCTTCTAAAGAATAAAGTCTGGAAAAGGAAAACCAGGAACTTTAGCGAGGAGAAATCTGATGTGATTTCAATCCCAATATGATGTGATGAAAAGGACATTTCACCTCATCTTTCTAAAAACCCACATTTCCAATCTAATCATGAGAAAAACAACAGACCCAGATGAGGGGATATCCTACAGGATACTTGGCAGAGTCTCTTGACACAGTTAAAGTCATGAAAGACAAGGAAAGACTTAAAGTCTGCCACAGACCAGAAGAGACTGGGAGACATGACAAATAAA